GTATAAGTTGATTAATATATTACTTTTAGCTCCCCATTCAGCGTGGCTCAAAGTTTTTAAGATATTGATACTTTTGGTTGTAGTTTTTTTGGTAAGCTTGCTATCAAAAATCAAACCTAGAATTTTTATGTTGTTTACAAAGGGTAAGGGTGTGTTTCCCAAAAATAACTTTGGTTTTGAACTTTGTTTTTTTTTTGGTAAACATTATACATTTGGTTTTTTCTGCTGAGAAAATAAAACCTGAGTGGAAGCACCACTTGAACAGATCATTTAGGCAATCTTGGAGTTGATGTGTCATTGATTTAATGTTTTTCCCTTTGAGATAAATATGTGTGTCATCGGCAAACATAATTGATTTGACAGGATGAGAAATTTCATCAAGTAGGTTGTTAAAAAAGTAGAATTTTCAGGGGGGGGGACCTTGTGGGACTCCGTTCTCGAGATAAAATTTATCTGACATGTGTTCATTAATTCTTACTTGGAAAGAACGTTCTTTGAGAAAACTTGTTATAAATTATAACATTTGCCCATTAATGTGCCATTTCCTCAGTATATTTAAGACTCTATATCGCCAGACTGTGTCATAAGCTTTCTGAAGGTCTAGACTAATGAGAATCATGGTTTGTTTGTTGGCATAAGATTCTAGCATTTCTGTTTCAATTTTAACATGGCAATCAGAAGTGGAGTGTGATTCCCTAAATTCGTGCTGGTTTGGAGATAACAGATTGAATCTTTGTACATACCAATTAAGCCTGTTAAAAATTATTTTTTCAAGTGTTTTGCTCAGGTTACATAAGACAGAAATAGGGCGATATCCTGAAGGTTTGTCTTGCTCTTTCTTAGGAATAGGGGTAATGCTAGCATTTTTCCATAACGATGGTATAATACCGGACGACCAAACATTGTTATACAACTCGAGGAGTAGGATTTTACTTTTAATGGAGATGTTCTGGAGAAATAAGAACGGTATGTTGTCTGGTCCACAACTGTTACTTTTTTTTTCCTTCAAGACTAGAGTTAAGTTCTGACATTGTGATAGGATCGTTGAGAATTGAACCTTGACTTGTTGTTGTTGTGGGGCTCGGTAAGGTAATCAATTCTTGCGTTTTTTTAAATTTCAAAAAGTCTGGATTTAAACTAGAGTTACTACTGTTAGAGTAAAAAAACTGTCCTATTTGGTTGGTTATCTCTTCAGGATCTGTAAAAACGGTTTGCCTTACCAACAGTGTTTTTATTTGTATAAAAGGGACTCCTTTTAATGTTTTAATTTTATTCCACATCATGGTTGGGAAAATATGACTGTTTAAACTAGATGTAAAATTTATCCATGACTTTTTTTTTTTACTTTTAATAAGGTATCTGACTAGCGCTTTTTTTTTTTTAAATTTTATAAAATCTTGTAGGTCTTAAGTTCGTTTGTATCTGTTAAAGGCAGTCTTTTTTTTGTCCGTATAGCTTGTTTAATTGTTTTATTCCACCAAGGGACTGGAGGTCTCTTTCCAGAGTAACTAATTAATTCGAAAACGTCAGAGGCTGTATTTATAATGAGGTCGGTGAACAGTTTTATCTTATCTTCTACATTATTAGTATAAGTCCAAGGAGTTGAATCAATATTTTTATCAATTTCCGTTTGATATAAATTCCAGTCGACATTTTTTAATTTCCATTTTTGTTTTCTTGTATAATGATTATGGGAATTTGTGTGATTTAGCGTCATAATGATAGGAAAGTGGTCACTGTTTGATAATTCTGGTATGACATCCCAATCTATGTAGGGAGTGATTGTAGGTGATGAGAATAAAAGGTCGACGGCTGAAAAGTGTCCCGTGCTTGCGTTAACTCTTGTAGCTTGGCCACTGTTAAGTATATTGAGGTCATTATTGCTGTATAGTGTTTGCTCGATTTTTGATCCTCGTGAGTCAAGAGTGGAGCAGCCCCACAAAGGACTGTGGCTGTTGAAGTCTCCTAAGAGAATATAAGGGGAGGGGAGTTGATTATTAATGTTTTGAGTATCGGATTGCTCAAAATTTTGAGAGTTTGGTAGATATAAATTGCAGATTGTTACTGAATTTTTGATTAAAACATTTACTGCGACCACTTCTAGATTGGTATTAATGATAATTTCTTCGGACTGATAATTTGAATTTACATAGATTGCCACACCACCACTGGCTCTGCCAGCATTGGTTTTATTTTTGTAGTATGTTGTGTAATGTTTTAGGGAGCAGACCTTGTCGTTGATAAAATTAGTTTCTTGTAGACATATTGAGATTGGACAGTATTTGTTTAATAGTAAATTGATTTCGTCTAATTTGGAGTAGAATCCATTTGGATTCCATTGAAGTATTTTAAGACTGTTATTAATTGTCATGATAGGTTTGATATTTAGTTTATTTGGTACGTAGTAGGTGAATGGATAACGAACAAGCTAGTAGGTTTCGTCATGCTGTCAGCATAAAAAGTCTGACTAGAATTTATGTTTCGAATTTTTTCGAGTGATTTTGATATTCTGGTTAGACGGTTTTTAATACTTTTAATTGTTACAACAGGGTAGATGTTTGTAATGATTTGGATTATATTTTCTGGACTGCTATTGTGCTTCATACATAAACTCTCGAGATCAGTGCAACCTTGCGAGTTTTCGAAGAAATCTTTAAATTGATTGAGTGATAAGGACATTTGAGGGTTGGAGTTGAACAGATTTTTGGTTGGATTTAACCCTACATCTATATTTGAATAGAAGCTATCATTTGAACTGGTGCTGGTTCTAACTTTCGGTTTTTTGTGTACATTTCCATTAGGGTTTTTTGATGGCTGGGTTTTTCCTTCAGGTGCGTTGGGAGGCTTCATTGTTAAAGGCGGGTTGGATGAGTGCGAAGATTTTGGAGATGGTGGTTGAGACGTGGTTGACGGGGCAGGACGTTTAACTGGGTTTGGAGAAGTTACTTTGACAATTTTGTTGGATGATAATTTGAGTTTTTCGGCTAGCAAGTGTTTTTAGGGTTGATCGATAGTGGTTAGATCACCATAATCATTTGCTTGGTTTGGTATTAAAGGAACGTTATTTTGAGTGGAATAGATATTTTGAGCATTAACACTAGCAGGTGGCGAGAGAGATACATTTTTTTTCTACATTTGGGGTTGGTGATAGGTCATTGGTTTCTTCCATGTTAGTTTCGGTCATATCGATGATATTGAATTGTTCAAGTATATTTTTACATTGGCTTAAAAAATGACCGGTTTTATGACATTGAAAACAAGTTACAGTGTCATCGGTAATAAATATTCTAAAGGTAGTGTTTTCTAATGTTATTGTGATTGAACTAGGTAGTTTTAATACACTGTCTTGATTAATGTATACTTGTCTTCTGAAACTAAGTATATGCGCGAATTGTTCTGTTGCAAAAACAGCTTTCATATGAGAGATATGGGAAGTGGTTTTAATTCCTATTTCATGGAGAGCGTTTAGTATAAGGAGATTTGGGATAATAGGGTAAACATTGGATAGAATAATTCTTTTGGACGCATTTATAAGTCTACGGATGGGGATTTCTGTATCATTGACATGAATTGAAGGGTGAGTTTTGAGTAGATTTTCCATGACGGCTTGACTATTGAAGAATATGCAGAATCGATTATTTGAAATGCGTGATACGAATTGAATATTTTCTGCGGGTATAATTTTACTGATTGCGATAACGTATTTGATTTGTTTAATGTTGTTAATAGAGTTAAAAAACGATTGCTTGGTTCATTTTTGGTAATGTAACATTGGAGGCTATATCGGCAAATGTTGCAGTATTATGTATATGTTGGGAAGCACTATTTGTGTTGTTCATACCGTCAGATATGGTGGTTATGGTAGTGGGCTTATCGCCCATCGAAATAGTTTTGGGATATTTATTTAATTGGTGTAATTAAGGCAATAATTATAATCATATTACCTGCAACGCTGAGTTTTAAAACAGACTGGTGTGTTACTGCTATCGATAGCTATAAATGCGATAGTATAGGAGAACACACGTGTTGAACGGTCGGACGTTGAACACGAACTGCATAGAATAGATTATTTATAAAAAAAAAAAAAAAAAAAAAAAATACAGCAAATTGAACGTTTATTTACGTTGTTTTCATTATCACAAACCTGTGTTAAAATTAAAGCAAATTACACAATAAGTACATAAATAATACATATTTATGCCTAAATTCTAATCACAAATAAATATTTTCTATAAAAGCATGACGTACAACCTTACATTTATTACAATTCTTTATAGCATACAAGTTTATTTAACTTAGTCGTGTTTTTTATCGAAATATTTAATTGATAGCGTGAACTTTATTCTAAATTTAAGGATGAAAACATTTTTACCTATTAACAATAAAAAGTTATAAAAAAAAAAAAAAAAATAAAAAAAAATACCAGAACACTTATCAAATACATCAAACGTGTACTTGAAATGTATATTTTAATTAAATGTATTCGTGAATATAGATGAACAAAAATGTTTATTGGACGGGTTATCTGATTTTACGGCCATAATACATCAATTATAATAATATACTATAGTATATTAACTTTTTTTTTAAGTAATCAATAATATCATTTTTAAACAAATAAACCATGATTATGTCATTTAAATAGTTATTTGTGACTTACGTTTAACTAATGTCGAAATAAATGTTTACAATGACACCAATATTCCTTAAATTATACTATAGTACTAGTTACATAAACTGATATAGATACAATAGGTAGGTTGGTTATACAAAATGGATGAAACATTAAAAATATTACGTGTTAAGCTATTGAGAAATTTGAACGCACGCACATGCGATACATCTGAATCACGTTTGAGTGATAAAAACCAACTCACGTAGGGATTATCGTTGGTTTTGCAATGAAAAGTATATAAAATGCAAGAAATTTACATTACAGTTCAAGCGAATTCTTAAAACTTTAACTGAAAATCTGAGAACAGAAACTTTTATGTATTCTCTTTTTTTTATTTTTTTTATTTTTTTTTTTTTAAACTTTACTTTGAAACTTTTTCCTGCTTTAATGTTAACAGACACGTCTACTAATTCCGACCAAATGGCCGTATAGGTTAACGAACACACGTGTTTAATATGCGAATAACAACATAAAATCAGTTTTCGTTATTTTCGAGGATTGAAAATAACAGGTATATTATACAATACGGTCTTCGTCTAAGGATCACCGCGAACAATGCTTTACTTACACGCCCGAAAATATAATCATCTAATATATACATCGCGGAATCAGCAGATGATATTATTTATTTATTGGGCGTCCGTATTGTTATCACATTGCAAACAGGAATTTCAGAGCTCAAAATAGAAAAATCAAAAAAGAATTTTGATGATTTAAATTACAAAATTATTACAGAAGTCTAAACGTGGGACGTAATCGTGTCGAAAAGTAAAATATAAGCAAGTCAATGTCGATGTTCTAAATGATTTCTGTCACTGGAGGACCATGAAAACGGATAAAGTGTACCGATTTTGTTAGATTTGTAACTGAACAAAAACGAATTATTAGTTTTTCGATAGAACAATATCTTTTAATCAATATTTTTTTTTTTTTAAACAAACACTGTATATTATTTTGAAATAATCATATTGCGATAACGTACTGTAAAGTAATTCTTAAATCAACTCGTTTCACGAGTGTTTCGTAAAACAGTTTCTGGAATTTCGTCGACTCGTCGTATTCCCTGTACGTTTCGGCATTGAAAAATAACGTTTCTTGCTGAAATTGTATGCGAACGATTACCGTTCACAACTGATTGTGCTGACTCTTACTGTAACAACAATATTGTTATTTCATATGATGTGTATTTACAAAACGTCTTATCATAATATTAAAATAAAAAAGGAAAATTGTTCAAAAATTGGCAGTGAATACGAATCTCAGTGTTATCTACACAAGTTTAATAATAATATTATTATTATACCGTAACTATATGATAATGAAAAAAATTATGCATTTATGCTACAAAAATAATGTCATCGTCTTATTATTTTATGTTTCTGAAAATGTGCGCGCGATCATAACCACTCGCGGTAATGTAACATTATGTTTATATTTTTCTCGCGTTTTTACAACCAACGTTAAACTATATTATTTTTATTATTATTATTATTATTATTTATATTATTATTTTCATCATCCGACTATTATTTGTTATTGAATGTTGCGTCTCAGGTGTACTCGTATCATATCGGTCGAGAAAATTGTTTTTTTTTCTGTTATTATTATTCTTATTTGACGTGCGATTTATTATTATTATTAGTATTTATTAACGTTAAGGTCGACTCGTGTCGAAATCTCTTCTTCGGATGACGGCGAAATGTGTTGTTTGGAAACTGTTGTTTTTCGTTGATCCACACTCCAACGAACCGGTGATACTGTAACCCATGTTGAAGTCGGCTGTACTCACGTTGGACGTAAGATATAACTGTAGAAAAAAAATATCGTTTTTGTTTATTACCACTTGTAAACATAATATTATAATATTGTGTATACGAGAAATCGCAACATGTTTGAATAATTTTCGTTTTTTATTTAACTTATTTATAGATTGTTATTTTAAAGGCTATTCCAACATTTATTCATCCAATTATTTTCAACTGTGAAGTTAAAATGTATTTCAAACCTATGTAAATATTATAAACATTATAACATATTGATCGCGGAAAAACGTTGTTAACGTAAGCACATGCGCGTAATATTAAGGAAACGGTGAACTAGCACTTTTATAATCGTCAGACTATTTATTTATTGTAAGCGTACAAGTGAGTAAGCGAATAACTGCAATAACGATATGTTAGCTAAGTGAATAAAAATAAAAAATAAAAGTAATAATAAAATAAAAACGTTTTTACATAATATTTCGAATTATAATTGCGCGCTTGAATTTTTCAAAAACTTTATTTATTGTTATGAGCTATTCACTCGATCGTAAAATACAAATTATTTCTTCTGGGAACGAAATAACCGCAGAGAAAAGCTATTGAGAAGAAACGAGGGCGGAAAAAGAAGAGAAAAAAACGGACGAATAAAGAATATGTGCTTAAGTAATTTATTTCACGTTTACTCGTGTTACGCGCGTGCTTTATGTCAAAAGGTTTTCCGATGTCGTGTGTATATTATACGTATAAACTGTATAAATGTGCGCTGCGGTAAGTTACAACGAAGCACTTATTTTTACAAGAAATCCTTTGTCCTAGAACAAAGGTGACACATAATACGTAAGTATATTACATAACGAACGACGGTTGACCAATTACGCGTCGGGGTAGCGTCGGGGTAGGTTTACGTGAAGAGCGAAAAGCTTCGGTTAATTAGAAAATACGTACACACACATATATATTATACTGTTCGAGTATACGACGAGGCAAAGAGCCTGGAAACACAATTAAGATTGATTTATTGCGGCCGACGTAACATATTCATAATCGTCGTCGTCGTCTCCGTTGCGCTGAGAAACAGATTGCTGTACACGTGTACCCGCCACCACCATCTCGTAGAAAGTCTCTCATATTAGAGCGAATCTTACACGCCGGTTCCCGTTCGCCTTCGTCCCTTCGGCTTCTCTGCACGCGCGCTAGTCGTCCGGCCCTTCCTCCCTCCCCCCCATGGAAACGACGACCGTGTACACGCGGTAGTGCACTCGCGAAACTTTAATAATAATATTTCGGAGGAATAAAGTTTTCAGCTAAAACTTTCACCTCTTCCTCGACTCGGTAAACGTAAAAACAGAACGATTGATATGCACGCGATTCTCTGCGCACACGCCGTGCTCGGCACCGGTATCTTTCAACTCGGTCACCGTCACCACCGACTAACCGCGGTTTTCTTTCTGCCCATCCAAACGACACGTTTACATATTAATAATAATAAAAACTAAAACATTGCTTGTGTACACGCTGTTGTTGTTATGCAACCCGAATATAATATGATGTGTATCCAGAGACACATTTATGATTTTGGCGCTCTAGTTGCACACATTAACTGCCACCTATTTTCATCCCTTACACTCATAAGTGACAATGGGGTTGTTTAACCATCGAAAACTTTATTAGCCCCATCCTCCTTCATCCAGAAAATCAACATCTTCTCGGCTATAAAAAATGGTACCATTAAATGTATATTTATTATAACCTTTCTTATTACATTATATTATTGAACACTTTTATTTCACATATTTCCATTTCTTTCTAGTAATCAAATTTTATTATAATCTCATGAAATTGTCTAACCATCCCAGCGTCTCGGCACCAATGGTGGTACAAGGCGGAGTAAAGCGGGGATTAAATAGGGGGGGAGGGGCTTCAGCCATACCATTTTTAACCAAAAATTACAAGTTGAGGTTTTGTCCTCGTACCTTTAAAATGATCCAAAATAATCATTAAATTATTATTATTATTAGTTGTAATCTCTAAGAGCTGTAATGTTGCAAGATAAAAGCTTAGGTAATTAGATTAAAAAAAATCGCAATAATTTCAAAAAAATTAATTGATACTATATAAAATGATAATAAATCCGGCGGGCTAAATTCATATTAGGGAGAACGTAGCTCTCCAAGCCCTATTTACGCCTATTCGTGGCACGCGCGCGATTTTGGACGGTATACAATCTAAGGTTTCTGGTTGACATCGAACTGAAGTATAACCTTGTCATGTATGGGTTGTGGGTAAGACCTGAAGCGATAATACGCGCATGTTTGCGGAAACAAATAACATCGAATCCATACTAGCTGTATTTTATTTTCGGTGTTTGATGGTACATTTTTCGATCAAAATCGTTTTATCGAGTCCAAAATATTTCTCGTTTGAATCGCTGCACCGCGGACATTGTTTTAAATCAAGTACGACATCAGTCATTTTCTGTATGAAAATTTCGCAACACAAAGGGGCGTTGCTAGAAATTCATTAAAGATTAGCGACAAACGTTTGCTTAATGATTTCACAATGCTTTAATGCCAACACAATGGACACAGAAGACGTGAAGTATAGGTACATATATTTGGGTATTGATTGATAATTTAATATATTTGGGATAAAAACTATAAAAAAAAATAAAAAAAAAACAATAATTGATAATTGTTTTGTTTTCGGTGTTTATTCGAACGATAGGGAAATGTTTAACGAATGAACGCCTACACTAATAAATATGTTGTTTGACTTAAAAAAAAAAAAAAAACTCGTCGAGGGTTTAAATGTTTAAAACACGCGCGTTTGACACGAAAATAATACATTTGTCAGAGAAAGGAGTAATGGGGAGCAACATAATTAACTAAATTCCAATGCAGACCTAAGCATTTACGTCAGTGTAAAAGAATAATGTACGTTCAACATATATATGAAGACACGATTACATGCTTCTAAACCAGTTGATTTTGGTAAGTATACTTTTAGAATCTGTTATGTTTAGTCAAAACAAATATATTAATTAATAAAAAAAGGTTAATTATTCATTATTGCAGGTATAATGAAAATCATAGTTTAATATTATTAAAGTACCTTATGATGATTTTACTAAAATTAAGTGTTCATAAAAAGTCATCAAAACAATATTATTCGAATTTTATCTCCTTCGTAATTGAATTTATTCATTTTCTCTCTCATAAAATACAATTGGATATTATATGTAGGATATATTAGACGTATTAAATTAACATTCATTATAAATTGTAATTATATAAAAAACAATAATTATTACTCTACCATAATCTTACCACGCAATCACATCGTAATGATGTTCGACATGATTATTAACGTATACAAATTTAATTAAATATTCTAATAATATGTTTCTTGTCTAGGGTATTAAAATGAGTAGAAACGTAAAAAAATAGGTTTTCTACACAACTGACACTTATCCATTTAAGAGGATGATGAGTTACCATTCGTTTTAAGGGTTTCACTCGTGCCTTTTCGAAATTCGAGGGTGCAGTTTGTATATCAATGCTCTTAACACTTACGTTGCTGTTTAAGTTTCCTCGTGTTAGCATATTATAGTCACGTGCACCAATTGATATTGTTATACGTTAAAACCGTTAGCGCTATGTAATTATCGATCTAATGATGTGATAAGGAAACTAAAAACCTTCATTATGGATTCGTTTTTTACGTAAATTTGACAGTGACATTCGATTCCTTTTTTCTTTTCGTATAATCAACGATAGAAATCGATTATATTTAAAATTAAATGTAAACCAAAAAAATACTTCAAACATCCGTTAAAAAAGAAAATTAAATTGAAAAATAAATTTTAATTAAACTTCATGAAGAATTCAAATAATCTTTCAAATGTCGTTTTGAATTATCAAATCGGTCAGTACGATTGACAAGAGATAGTCGTGTTTGGCATGTAAAAAAAAACTGTAACCAATCTTATTAAAATGTTACTCACATCCGACGAAAAACATGCGACAGAGTGAAGATCATGAAAAATACAATAATATATCATTCTTTATTATGTTGAAGATTTTTCATCAATAAGCCACTTGACTTGCAGTATATATTTTTAATTTTGTCTTAGTTTTTTCTTTAGTTTAACTGTTTAACCTTAAATAATTAGTTTTACTTTTGAAAATCTTTTTATAGGCGATTAAGATTTTATTTTCTATTGGATGTATTTATTATTAATATTAATAAAGAATATAAGAAATGATTCTTTATAAGTTATTATTACAAATAAATAATAAAAACTTACAGATAACTTATCTTAAATTAAAACTGATGTTTAATAATATAGTAACTTAACGATATTTGAATAGTGTACAATCTAATATTATTTTACATAACTATACACATTTTCGTGTAAAATTATTTTACAGATTCTAATTTTTCCCTACTATTTCCAAAACCAGAAACTTTATATAACTATAGTAACATATATATGTCACATACAATTACAAGATTAACTTTATTTTCATATATATATAATGACTTTAAGTTTATCAAAGAACGCAATAAGAATTAAACTATTTAACATTGTTTACAATTATTCACATTCTAGAATATATCTAAATAAAGAGAAAATTAGAATACCTCTGGTAAAAACAGACTTTAATAGTTACTTAACAAACTTTCCATATAACGAAGAGAAAATACATTTGTTTGTAATCTCTTGAAAGAACACGAGATTTAGATACGAATTTAATTAGCAAAGATTGTCCAACTGCAAGCGTACCGCAATAGGTTGTGTACAATATGTAACCAGAATGTAGTAAAAGATTTGATATGATTTGAGATCATTGTCGAATAAAATATTTTCAAAAGTAAATTTATAACATCTATTTATGAAATGTAACTAAACATTTATATACTGCACCGAATAATTATTAGTAAAAGTCAACTACACAGAACGGCTAGTGATTTGGTATTGTTCAGGATTCGACGATAACACGAATACAGCAGCGATAAACTTAACCAACCCCCGTCAAAAATC